AGCCGCGCCAGCCGCCCCCCAGGAGGCCTCGGCAGCGTGGCCCCCACTGGCCTCTGGCTCCTCGTAGCCCGCCTCAGGCTCCGAGAACTCCAGGATGACGTCACTGGCGTGATCGAGCTGCTTCCGATCCACCATGCGCGCGTGGAGCTTACCCGTGAAGATCATCGCCTGTCTTGCGATGAGGTCGAGGCCGTAGGCAAAGTCCAGCTGGTCGTCTGTCAGCGCCAGCTTCGCGCCCTCCTTCGCTGCCTCGTCGGCGAGCCTGTTGCCTGCCTGCTGCCACCAGGTCGTGCGGTCTGCCTCAACGTCGGCAGCGGTAGCGTGGGCCAGCACCTTGGTGACCGTGTGGCTGCGTGAGCCGTCGAAGGAGGCGTAGAACGCGTTCCACATGTGGGCCCTCGGCGACCCAGGGCGGCATGCCCATGCTGCTCCCCTCAGGGCGCAGTCCACCGTCCCTGCGCAGTCCGTCTGGAAGTCGACGTGGCCCTCGCAGAGGAAGGCCGCCATGTGGTATGCGTAGTCCTCGCCGTCCCGCGCCTCCTGCCGCGGCGCCATGGAGAGGGGCGCCCATCCCCATGCTGCAGCAACCAGGCGCCCATGCCTGTCACACTGTACGAGCGGCCAGCCCGCGCGCTGCAATTCTGGCCACCGCGTGCCAACCGCGCTGCCGTCCGCGAAGATGAGGCCTGTGAGGTACCCCGAGGCTGGGCGCCGGTACCAGCTAACTGGGTCTCCATCAGGGTCGCGCCTCGGGATCACATGGTCGAGCGACGGGAAGAGGCACCTGCCGAACATCTCGCCGCAGTTGCCTCCTGCAGCCCGTGCCACCTCCGCGTGCCGAAGGAGCGCGAAAGGCCGCATGACCACCACAGCCGTACAGCCTGTGCCAGAGTGTGCCAGGAGCACCCCTGCACATGAGGCAGTCCCACTCGGAGGCCATGCCTCTCTTGTAGAGCCGCGTCTGGGAGAGTACCGTGCCTGAGATGACCGAGTGGAGGGCCGCTCGCTGGTGTTGCTGCCAGCCGAGCGACTCCTTGGTCCTGCCCAGCCGCTGCAGCGAACCCCAATACAAATCCGAGCTCTGATGGGGGTAGAGCCTGAAGGTGGCGTCGCGGTCGGACCACCTCTTGGCCGCTCCCTCTGCCAGCTCCTTGCTGAAAGACGGCGAGACCCTGGCGAGGTCGACCTCCAACCCTTGGTCAGTGGTGACGTACCTGCCGCCCTCGATGGACCAGCCGAGCCTGCTGATGGTGAGACAAAAGGCTGCCACGGGGTCCCTGCAGGTTGCCCACGGCCGCTTCGCCGTCGCGAACCGCTGCTTGGCCTTCTCCAGCAGCGCGTTGATGGCGAACGGAGTGGGGTAACCCAGCCAGAGCGCCATGCCGAAGTAGAAGTAGCAGTAGCAGTAGTAGTATTAGTAGTAGTAGTAGTAGTCGTCGTAGTAGTAGTAGTAGTAGTAGTAGTAGGTCGTAGTAGTAGTAGTAGTAGTAGTAGTAGTAGTAGTACTAGTAGTAGTAGTAGTAGTAGTAGTAGTAGTAGTAGTAGTAGTAGTAGTAGCAATAGTCGTCGTCGTCGTCGTCGTCGTCGTCGTCGTCGTCGTCGTAGTCGTAGTAGTAGTAGTAGTAGTAGTAGTAGTAGTAGTAGTAGTAGTAGTAGTAGTAGTAGTAGTAATCGTAGAAGTAGTAGTAGTAGTAGTAGCAGTAGTAGTAGTAGTAGTAGTAGTAGTAGTAGTAGTAGTAGTAGTAGTAGTAGTAGTAGTAGTTAGTAGTAGTAGTAGTAGTTATAGTAGTAGTAGTAGTAGTAGTAGTAGTAGTAGTAGTAGTAGTAGTAGTAGTAGTAGTAGTAATCGTAGTCGTAGTCGTAGTAGTAGTAGTAGTAGTAGTAGTAGTAGCAGTAGCAGTAGCAGTAGCAGTAGCAGTAGTAGTAGTGGTGGTAGTAGTAGTAGTAGTAGTAGTAAGTAGGAGTAGGAGTAGGAGTAGTAGGAGTAGTAGTAGTAGTAGTAGTAGTAGTAGTAGTAGTAGTAGTAGTAGTAGTAGTGGTAGTAGTAGTAGTAGTAGTAGTAGTAGTAGCCCGCGGATCGCACTGGCCTGCTGCCGTTCACTCACGCCTGGCAGCTTCTGCTGCCGAGGTTACGCTGACGCCGCCCCGCCAGCGGCGGTTCGATCCCCGCTCCGTGCGCCGCGCGCGCGGAGGGCCCGCGGGCGCCTCGGCCACTGCAATCGCTGCTGGGTTCGGCTTCCCCGCGGCGCCGTAGACGGAGGCGCGCGCGTCTGTGCTCTTGGCTGCTGGCTGCAGCCGCTGCGCAATTGGCCAGCTCGGCCTCGTCGATTCCGCGGGCAGCCAGGTGGCCGCGGTGGCCTCTAGCCGTGGGCACCTCGACGCCTCGACGCCGCTCGGGCCAGCGCGCCGCTTGCGCGCCGCGGGGCGCCCTGCTCCGCCGGCGCTGCCAGCGCCTCGGAGGCGCCGCACTCGCCGCCCTGGCGGCCGAACCAGGCAGAGTAGCGCAGGCGCGCGTCCTCGGGCACGGTCACTACCTTGCGGAGCTCGCGCGTGTCCGGGCCCTGCTGCCACTGTCGCGCCAGCCGCGTGCGTCCTCCTGGGTGGCGCCCCCGCTCCCAGAGGCGCCGCTGGGTAGTCGAGACCTTGGTCGCCGCGGCCCACGCTTGCCCGTCGCGATGGCTCCTTGGCCTGGACTGAGCTCCGCTGCGTCCTCCCAGTCGCGTGCAGGCCCCGCGGTCGGCGCGCGCGGTGACCTCCCCATCGTCGTCGCCATGGCCGCAGCGGGCGCAGGCGAGCGCGTGGCCGAAGATGACCAACACTGCCGTGCTCACCGCCACCCCGCTGGCCGCTGCAGGCAGGCGGGCCCCGTCCAGCCGCCTGCGCTTGACCTCCTGCGCGTCCTCCTCGGCAGGCTCTGGGAAGTAGGCGTGGCGCCGCCCGCCGCCTTCAGGACGGCCCTCGGTGCTCGCTGACCGTGGCTTCGTCGACCATGTGCAGCCGAGCTCCTGCTTTGGCCAGCCTGTCGGCGTGCTCGTTGCCGCGTCGCTGGGCCTCGGTCAGCTTGCCGTCAAGGGCGGCCTGCATGGTGCAGTGAGCGGGCACCTTGTTCGCCGCGAAGGGCCAGCCCCCCGCTCGAAGGTCGCGTGGATCCTCGCCCACAGGTGAGCGTTCGGCCTGTTGGCGACCGTGGCGCAGGCGCGCCCGCGCCGCAAGCGCGGCGCCGTGGAGCTGCAATCCATGTTGTGCCCCGCCGCTCGTGGGCCCGCGTAGTTGCGCAGCATCCAGACCTCGAGGTCCTCGCCGTTCCTGGACGTTTTCCGCGAGCAGGCGCCCCGCCGCGCCGTGCCGTGGACCCCTGCTATGTACCAGGTTGCAGTCATCGTCGCAATGCGCGATCACCCGGCGAGCCCCGCGCAAGGGGCCGTAGTTGGGCTCAACCGCGGGCCTGTCAATATTCAGCCCCCCATTCAGCTGGTCGCCGTCGGGCTGACGCATCCGCCGCGCATGCGTGGCGCCTTCGGGGCTGCAGCTGCGCGCATGGGGCGGGGCGCCAGCGCCTCGCGCGCCCCCCCCCCTTCCCCCCTGCCTCCTCCCCGCGCGCGCGGTCCCTGGCCGCTCAGCGGCGGGGCCGCGCAGACGCGCTGTCGCGCCGCGCGCCCTCGAGCACGGGGCGCTCGAACAGCCTGTGCCGCGGCGTCCCGCGGGCCGCTCCGCGCGCGCAGCACCGGCTGCGCTCGCGTTCCCCAGCGTGGTGGGGCCGCGCCCGAGGCCAATGCGCGTTGGAGACGCAGGGGTCGAAGGCGGCCTGCCCCCGCGCGCCCGAGCCCCCCCCGGAGCTCCGAGGCTGGCGAAGGCGTCCCGGGACAAGGGCTCACGATCGCTTCCGCTCTTGGCATGCTTCGCGAGCTCGTGGCAGTCGGGGGCTCGCCGCGCACCCGGGATCGCCTCGACGCCGAGCTCGCTCGGGCCCAAGATGGCGATGTCGAGCTTGCCCCTCTGGCCCGCGGCGAGGAATCTGCCGGACTCGAAGTGCCTGCCGATCCGTGCCGTCGCGAGCGCTGCTGCATCCACGACAAAGGGGACAGCGGGCCCAGGGATTGACCACCCCCGCGCGGCGGACAGTCGCATCCCCCAAGCCCTGGGCCAGCGCGCGGCTCGGCAGCTCGCCCGACTGGAGGAGGCCTGCCAGCATCTGCGCCGCTGGACCAATCGCCATCGCACCTGGGTCGAGGTCTCGGCGCCTGGCCACTCCAGCGCGCCTCAGGCGGAAGCCCCGCGCCGCTCCGCTGGGCAGCTCGCCCGCGCAACGGGCCGCCGCCGCCCGTCAGCAGTGAGCCTCGCCGTCGGAGATGCCAGTGGCGGTGCGTGCGGCCCCAGATCATGCTGGCCGTGGGCGCCGCTTTGTGCGTGAGGTCCACCCGCGCGCCCGCCGCCATGGGGCGGCGCAACCTGCGCGCCCTCGTCGGAGCGCCGGTGGCCCCCCTGCTCCGACCCTCGTGGAAGCCGCGCCTGGTGATGTTGGCGTCGGCGCCGAGGTTCCATGCCTGTGGGGCGCGGCTGATGGCCCGGCCGTGGCTCTTGGGCATCTTCGAGAGCGTGGGGCTGGAGGCCAAGTAATTCGTCTTCGCCGCGGAGAGGGGCATGTGTTCCTCGCCCGGCGCCCCCGGCCCAGCGCCGCCGAGCTGCTGCGCCACGAGCCGCTCGGTGCCGACGGCTTGGAGCGCGACGCCGTCCGCGTTGCGAGCGACCGCCGCTGCCATCTCCGACGGCGTTCCCGCAGGCGGGGCCCGCGGCGCTCCCGGCGCGGGCAGCTTGGCCACGGTGGTCGCGCAGGCGCATCCCGCAAGGGCCGCGCCCAGCGTGGGGGGGGCCAGCGAGGCGAGCCCCGCGAAGTCTAGGGGCCGCGGGCCCTGGTGCATCGCCGGCAGGCCTCGGATGAGGCGGAGTATGGAGCCGCGGGCAATCGCGCGCCGCCGTGGTACATCGCGCCGCAGGTTCTCGTAGAACTTGGTGATGCCCAGGAAAAGGCTTCCCGCTGCAGGGCCGCTTCCCTTCGCGAAGGCGGCGTGGGCGTTGTGCAGACAACCCGCCTTCTCGCGTCCTCGGACAGCCTTGCCCAGGAGAGCCGGCGGTCGTGCTCTGCCTTCCACGTGGAGCAGATCGGCCGCCGCAGCCTGCTCCGCAGCCGAAGGGGCAGCGGGGGCCGAGCGATCGGCCGAACCCCTCCTCCAACCTTGGGGATGATGACGGTATTCGTGGCTGGCTGAACCGCCCGCCTTGGCCCCTCGAAGGCTGAGAGGAGGTCGAAGAAGCGCGGCTGCGTCGCCGCGGGCAGCGGGGGCGCCTGCTGGGGGTGATGCTGGTCGGCGCGGCGAGACCTGCCGTGGGCGAGTCCCGTCGGCGCCCCGCCTGCAGCTGCTCCAGGCCCGGCGGTGGGAGGGCCCGTCCCCGCATGTCCCAGCTCTCGGCGCCGGCGCCTGCCGTGAAACCCTCCTGCTGCCAGAGGGCCTGCCAGCTCGCCCACAGCTGGCCGACGGCGAGCATGCCTGACAGCGGTCTGCGCTAGGGTCTAGGGTCGCTGACTTGTGGAGACAGGGCGGCCTTTGTAAGCCCGCGGGCCAGGCGGCCCCCGGGCTGCGCGGCCTCTTTCGCTCGCTCCTTCCAGGGCGCCGAGTTCGAGGCGCCGTCTCGGCGCTGGGGGCGCGCGAGCCGATGCTGCAGTGCGCTGACGGGCGCGACGTGCCCGTGGGCCCCCGCGTGGGGGATGAAGTCGCCCCAGCCGCTGGGGTCGACGCCAAGGGCGCCGTCCTCCTCTTGGCCCTGTGCCTCCCCCGTGGCTGCCGCAAGAAGCTTGGTGCAGCGCGCGGCTTCATTCTCGCGCCGGCCCTGGCGTGGGGCTTGCCGCCGCTCGGCCCGCTGCGCCTTGGGCCGCCGCGGCGCCGGGTCGTGGGCCGGGCGGGCGTGGCGGGTGAGGTTCGAGCGGCGGGGGCGGCGCTCACTCCCGACCTAGCTGCTCATGAGCTTGAGGACAAGCCGCTGAGCGCCAAAGCGACCGACGCAGCACTGGCGCGCGGGGCGCGGGGCTGGTCCGCCGCTGGAAGCGCTGCGAGACATGGATGGCGCGAGAGCTCCCGCGGGAGATTCGCCCGCGACGCAGGCCACGTCCAGCCCTTTCGCCAGGGCCGACACCTGGCTTGCTGCTGCCGCGGCGTCGTCAGGCAGCGACGCTGCGTCGGCGGATCTGCGGAAGGCCGAGTGCACGGCCCTCAGGGCTTTTCAGTGTGGCCCATGTAATAAGCAATTCCGCCAGACTTGGAAGCCGCGCGCCCGTGCCATTTTACACATCATTTAGGGATTGCGTGGGGTGGCGGTACAAACGCGACGAAATATTCTGAACCGTTGGGTTTAGACGCAAGCATGATATCACACGCCGCCCAAACAAGACGACGAGCTCACGGCGCTTTTCGGCGACAGGGTAACGGGTTGGATGAAGTCAGACGCTTCTGCAGCGCTACAACAGTGCACGCCTCAAGGTTGGCAGTCCAGCAGCACAGGGATGCTGTGAACGCTCATCACCATGTGCAGTCAGCATGCGCTTGCTGTGGCAAGCGATGTGGCAGATTACGGGGCCTGGCGCAACCTACGGCGCGATTTATGGCGCAACGGTGACCTCCTGATGCAACATTTGATGTGGTAGATTGCGGGGTGCCGGGCGCAACCAATGGCGCACTAGCGCTCCACTTGAGGCAACGGGCGGATTTCAGGGTGTCTGGCGCAACCGGTGGGGCAATGGTATACGTCCACTGAGGCAACGGACGATCTTGAAGATTGCGGGATGCCTGGCGCAAACTATTGCGCAACTTATGTCGGAATTGCGCACCAACTGGGGCAACGTACAATTTTGGTAGATTGCGGGGTGCCTGGCGCAACCTATGAACCCAACGAGATAAGGAATGATTCGGATGCCCATGGGAACTCTAGCGCAATCTGTGGCGGGAGCTGTGATGGCTGTTTACGGTTTCTTGGCGGGGCGGCATGAACTTTATGACGTATGGGTTCATAGCGAATTGGAAGCTTCCCCACAATTATTACGCTCTATTTTCTGGTATTTCTTCGCGTCGTCCGCTGTCAGCGAAGTTACCTGGTCGTATGGTACTGGCGTGAAGCCCACATGCTGCTTCTGTGGAATCAGTGTAGTGCGACCCTGTGGCGGGCATCGTGCGACAGTGTTAACGACCAGCTCTATGATGTGGGGGCGGGGCCTTATGACTGGCATCGTGAAGGGACTCTTGGCGGACAGGGCAAGCCGTCCCAAAACGATCAAGAAGGCCAAATGCAAGGACCGCTTCGGTCCGGGAGAACACACATCAAGAAATTGCGGCGACACCAAAACAGATCTCTGCGAGCCGCGGCGCAGAAACCGACATATCAGACTATCATTCGGCGAAGGACTCCAAGTAATTGCTACATGCGCTTCTGCTTGCGCTGGCGGCATTGGCTACCAAACGTGTCGTCGTCATCGGGTCAAGGAAGAAAAGTTGGGAAAGAGGCGTCTCGGCGGCATCAGGAGGCGGAGGAGGAGGTGGATGAGACGTAACATCCTATGGGGAAGATGCGGGGGGGGAACAGGAGCATAGGGAAGAGGCTAAGGAGTGCAAGGAACCCGCTCTCTCGGACGGCAGACGAGGCGAGTGGTGTGAGCGTATTTCAGATCACGAGCTGTGCTGTCGGAGCGGTGTCATCCGAACTCGCCACACCACAAAGTTAGGTGGTTACGCTCATGCTGTCTGTGTTTGTCCACCTGGGTCCACCTGGAATGACGAGGGCAACCAGGATGAGAGGGGCAGGATGGGCAGGATGAGGAGGGCTAGCAGGAGGAGGAAGACGCGGAGGCATTATCCTCTTCTTCGTCCTGTTCCCTCTTCCTCCTCGCTCCTCTTGCGGGTGGGGGGACGTCCTTCAAGATCTGCTCCAGTGGATGCCTCCAGGTGCTCTCCCCGCTGCCCTGCGGGCGCCGTTGCGATAGCTCGTCTCTTGGGGTGCCCTGGAGTCCACGCTGTTGGTCGAAGAAGCGAAGATGATGGGGATGCGGAGAAGGCGGAGAAAGTCTCCTCGTACCTTTACCCGTCTTGCCTTCTCCCTCCTCCCTCTGCTCTACATCATGCCCCTCTTCTCCATCGTACCCCTCCTACTTATCCCTGCTTCCTCCTCCTCCTCCTCCTCCTCCTCCCTTCTCATATTCCTTCCTTCTCTTTCTCCTCTTCCTCCTCCTGCTCCTTGGACTGGTTGCCAACGGGAGGGGGGGGCGGGGAAATGGGGAAGGGTACGAAAAAAAGGAAGATCTGGCAGGATCATGTTGAGGGACATGAGAAGGATACCCAGCTTAGAGCGCCGGTCCGAACAGCTCTACCTGAAACTTGCGCGGCGGGGCCTTCCCCTGGGCCTGGGACGCGGCTTGATCGAGTTCGGTGGGTTGGTCGCGAAGCGAGCAGTGCGAGCTTTGTGCGTGGCCTGGAGAAGGCGAGTATGCAGCCTACTATACCTGCTGGGCTCGGCATCCAGAAGCCGATGCAGGTGAACATCAGCGGCCACGCCTTGAGCCCAGTCCAACCACTGGTCGACGAAGGCAAGCCCAAACAACAAGCGGGGCACGAACGGGAACTGACAACACGGGTAACGAGCCTAAGCAGCGAGGCCGCGCAACGTAAACACTGGGAACAAAGGAACTCGCTTGTCAGGTGCATATCGTCGGACACGCAAGACCTGGGGGCCAACTTTTGCGGAATCCCGGGCTTATCTCGAAAAGGAGGAGATGCGAATTCGCCACTTCTTGAGCGGCGCTTCCCGCTGGTCACTGGGAGTCGCCCTGGACCCCGCCAGACGTCCCATCATCTCCATGGAGCTGTCGACGCGGACGGAGTTCCACCTGGGGTTCGCCGTGGGGTCTGCCACGGACAAGCCAGCCCGCACCTCCGCCACGACCTGGCCGGTCGTCTCGAAATTCAAGGGATCGGCTCGTTACGTCGCAGGCTTTAGTCGGATGCCCGTGAACTTGGCGAGCGCGCGATTGAGACAAGCCAGGGTCGACAATCCACGCTGACCTGATGCAACCCCGTTCACGCCGTCCGCGTCCGCGCATCAGCGGGCGCATCCAAGTTGTCGCGCGAGAAGCTGAAACCGCTCGGCGTGCGCTACGCGTGAAAGTGGAGACCGCGAACAATGCTCCGGACGGCGGGCCGCCCAGCAGCGCGCCACGCAGGACGGGTGAAGAGGACCAGCCGCTGCGGGCAGGAGCTCACCGCCAAGACGCCGATGCACCCGAGCTGCAGCAGTCGACCAAGCCGCCACGGAGGTGCCAGCTGCGGATGGCCCAGGCCATCCAGCCGCGGAGCAGCGATGGGAAGGAGAGGAGCGCGACGCCAAAGCCGGCGGCCAGTCGCTGGGCCGGGCCCCCTGCGCTGCTCGCTGCGGACCCCGCGCGGGCACTGGACCTACTTGCCGTCGGCGGCCAGCCGAGGCCCTCAACAAGACGCGCAAGGTCACCAGCGCTGTCTGCAGTCGGTGGTCTGCCACCATAAGCCGAGGCGTCCGATCACCAGCGCTGCGCGTCTTCGGTGACCTGTCAGCGCCTCAGCAGACCGCACAGAGGCGCTGGCCGTATCTGCCCTCGGGGATCTGCCGAGGCCTGCAACAAACTCGCGGGCCTGGGAGGCAGCCCGATGTGAAGCATCCGTTGCAGATGGCTTCGACTGGGACGGCAAAAGACCAATACTGAAACGGGACACCCAATGAAACAAACGGACACTTGTAAAACATCGACGGGCCGTCCCCGTCCCATGCAGCACCATACGTCGGAACGTTGGCATCGTACGAGGCAGTGAGGGCGGACGAACACACTAAGATCCTTCCTGATGACCAAGAGGCTGGGCGGGAAGACGAGGCATGCTACACAGTAGCTTACAATTCGCACGGGCCTGCATGGAGAAGGATAAGAGGGCGTGCTCCCTATGCCTGGAAGGAACGGCACAGTCGATCGAGACGATGAGGCCCTCTAGCGCAGCCAAGGCTCTGGAAACAAAACGTATAGTCTGTCGCTCTCACCATGACCTCGCGTTCGTACACATCAGATCTAAAACCCAAGTCGGAAATCTGTTTCCACCACACACTTCAATACCATTGTGATTGCATCCAAATGTCGTCAACGAACGCACGCGCGCACACCCGCACATACACACACACACGCACCGTGGCGAAATCGCGGGAGGAGACTTGCAATCATGCAGGAATGTCTCCGTCCTTGGTAATGGATGTGAAACCCTGTGGGGATAACAATACGTATCTCTAAGCGGAGTCGACATAGTTGTAGCCGCCCGCGCGGACTTCATATTGTTCAGCATGACGGTAGCCATGTGTGGAGGAGGAGGAGGAGTAGGCGGGGAAGGAGGTTCAGGACAGGGAGGGAAGGATGGAAGGGAAGGGGGGTAGGAAAGTGAAAGTATGGAGCTATGTCCTGTGGGAGGGACGGAAGGAAAGCTCTTGGGCGACACGCTGGACTTCCCTCTCCTGGCCAATCACCGGTGAGTTCACCACTCTGCACAAATCTCACATGTAGGGGCGCCCTTGCGAAGGCAAGTGGGTTGCCTGGCAACCAGAATCTAGGAAACAACTCCGACGTCCGTGCTGGCCTGTGGTGGTCCGGCTTCTGGCCTGAATCCGCCGGCCCCCTTGCGGGGCCATCAGGCTGCGAGGGTTAAGCTTGCTGCTCCCTGCGCCAATTCCAGTTTCCAGTTTCCATTGTTACAATACTGCTTTCTGCTTCCCACTGTAAATTGCTACTGTCCGTGCGAGGGGGGGGAACCGAAAACTGCCCTTTTTAGCACCCCCTGGGAAGGTTCTCAGACTTCCTGGGGTGTGTGTGTGTGTGTGTGTGTGTGTGAAAATTGACACCCCTCACGCAGATCGGCGGGGTCAGGGTCCAAAAACAAAAGGGATTTGCCTCATTTCTGAAATTCGGTGGCACCCCTCACGCGGATCGGCGGGTTCAGGTTACAAAAACATAAAACAGATTCGCCACATTTCTGACATTCGGTGGCACCTCTCACGCAGATCGGCGGGGTCAGGGTCCAAGAACCCAAAGGATTTGCTGCATTTCTAAAATTCGGTGGCACCCCTCTCGCAGATCGGCGGGGTCAGGGCCTGCAGGGTCCACAAACACAAAGGATTGGCCGCATTTCGGAAATTCGGTGGCACCCCTCATGCAGATCGGCGGGGTCAGGGTCCAAAAACACAGGGGATTTGCTACATTTCTGAAATTTCCTAACACCCCTCACACAGATCGGCAGTGTCAGGGTCCAAAAACATTTGGAATTTGAAGCATTTCTGAAATTTCCTGGCACCCCTCACGCAAATCCGTCGCCCGAATCGAGCCAGAGTGCTCTGGGAGCGGCCCGACGAGCACTCCGTGCGAGCTGGCATGAGCGGGCCGCTCGAAATTGGGCCGGGAACGTACCGGAGCCCAAAACCAAATTAAATGATACAGAAAATGTGTGTTGGGAGCCGTTTTTGTAGAGCCACTGACATTTCGCCGGGTCGGCCAGAATCTGTCAGACTTGCCGAGCGCGGCGTCGGCAGGCCCGAAATCCAAGCCCAGGCGCTCCCAGGCGCTCCCAGGCGCGCCCAAGCGCTTGGCCAGCGAGCCGGAGCGCCCCGGGAGCGGCCCGACGAGCACTCCGTGCGAGCTGGCACGAGCGGGCCGCTCGAAATTGGGTCGGAACGCACCGGAGCCCACAACCAGATCGAATCGTACAGAAAATGTATACTGGGAGCAGGTTTAAATTTGTGGAGCCACTGACATTTTGCCGGGTCGTCCAGAATTTGCCAGATTTGTCCAAATCGAGCGCGGCGTCGTCAGGCCCGAAATCCAAGCCCAGGCGCTCCTCCCGCGCGCTCCCAGGCGCGCTCAAGCGCTCCGTGCGAGCCGGAGCGCCCCGGGAACGGCCCGACGAGCACACCGTGCGAGCTGGCACGAGCGGGCCGCCCGAAATTGTGCCGGGAACGTACCGGAGCCCAAAACCAAACTAAATGATACAGAAAATGTGTGTTGGGAGCCGTTTTTGTGGAGCCACTGACATGTGGCCGGGTCGGCCAGAATCTGTCAGACTTGCCGAAATCGAGCGCGGCGTCGGCAGGCCCGAAATCCAAGCCCAGGCGCTCCCAAGCGCTCCCAGGCGCGCCCAAGCGCTCCGTGCGAGCCAGTGTTTTGGAGCGGCCCGACGAGCAGTCCGTGCGAGCTGGCACGAGCGGGCCGCTCGAAATTGGGCCGGGAACGTACCGGAACCCAAAGCCATATCAAAACATACAGAAAATGTGTGTTGGGAGCCGTTTTTGTGGAGCCACTGACATTTTGCCGGGTCGGCCAGAATCTGCCAGATTTGCCCAAATCGAGCGCGGCGTCGGCAGGCCCGAAATCCAAGCCCAGGCGCTCCCAGGCGCGCCCAAGCGCTTCCAAGCGCTTGGCCTGCGAGCCGGAGCGCCCCGGGAGCGGCCCGACGAGCATTCTGTGGGGGCCTGCACGAGCGGGGGCGCTTCCGGAGCGGCCCGACAAGCATTCCGTGCGAGCCGGCGCGAACGGGAGCGCTTCCGCAGCGGCCCGACAAGGCGCTCCAAGGATTTGCCACATTTCTGAAATTCGGTGGCGCCCCTCACGCAGATCGGCGGGGTCAGGGTCCAAAAACACATGGGATTTGAAACATTTCTGAAATTCGGTGGCAGCCCTCACGCAGATCCGTCGGGTCAGGGTCCAAAAACATAAGGGATTTGGTACATGTCTGAAATTCGGCGGCACCCCTCACGCAGATCGGCAAGGTCAGGGTCGAAAAACAAATAGGTCCCGACACTGCTTCACGGCAAAGCCAAAGCCTCATGACTTCGCTCGTCCATGGCTCATTCTCCGAGAGAGGGGGCCGGCGGCAGGGGGCGAAGCCCTTACGGATAAACGGACGAACGCTGGAGCCGTGAACGCTCCAGCGGAGAGTCCGTCCGTGCTCACTAGGGCATAGCGTGGAGGCCGTCACTTCAACAAGGAAGGGCGTGTGGTCAAGGAGGCCATACGTACGCCAGACAACAATTTCACCGACTTCTGCATCCGGGGCACTTCTGGAACGACACGTCCAGGTGACACATCAGACCACATCCACGCTTGCTCACGTCTCTCGCTTCGTGCAATCATGCTGCATTCGTTCCTGGGGCAACCTCTCCAACCTGATTGCTTCAACACTCTTGTGCACGTCTCGCCTAGGCAATCGAATAACCGCCACAGCGCCGTAGGCACTGAGTGGAGGGCCCACAGTTCTCTGCTGAAACATGTATATGGTTTCGAAGAAATGCCCAAGCCACCGACTCACATAATTTTCTTCGCGCTACCATGTGTTCTTTCCCCCCGCCCCCCCCACATGACTTGTCAAGAGGCCTCGGGAGCGTGGTTGGAGGCTTCCTCTCTAACATGTCCCAATCTGGTCCCAAGGATCCCCGCTGGATCTCCCTCAGGGGCCTCTTGGGCCATCTTGTGACATATTGTTACCCACATCCAAAGTGGGGTTCTTGTTTTCTCTGCACACCCTCTGCGCAGGATCTCTCCTCCTTCTCCCCCCTCTCCATCTCTCCCTCACCTCCCTTCGCACACTCACTCAATCACTCACACACACACACACGCCATCATCGCTCAAACTCACCCACTCACCCACTCACGGACACTATCATCACCATCGTCGTCATCAATCGCATATTCACTTATTTACACACTCATCGTCATCATTTTCACTCACTCACTCACTCACTCAGTCACTCATTCAGCCACTTACTCATCTCAGGCGGGAACTTCGTCTGTGAGTGATTTGCGAGGAGATCTCCGGCTGGAGCCCTCTCCCTATGGGGCCCGCAGCTCATATGAGTAATCCAAGCGGGTCATCGGGATCCTGTAACTGTCGTCACTTTTGGACTCCTGGGGCCTGAATTCGGGGGGAGTCTCATGCGGGAGTCTCGTCTGTGAGTTAATGGCGAGGAAGTCTCAAGCGGGAACCCCCTCCCTATGGGGCCCGCAGCTCATGTGAGTAATCCGAGCAAGTCATCGGAATCCTGTATCTGGCGTCACTTTTGGCCTCTCCAAGCTTGAGTATGGCGGAAGTCTTAGGCGGGAGCCTCGTCTATGACTGAATTGCGAAAGCGTCTCAGGCGGGAGCTCCCTCCCTATGTGGGCCCGCAGCTCATGTGAGTAATCCTAACGGGTCGTCGGAATCCTATAACCGTCCTCCATGTTGGCCTCTCCAAGCTTGAATATGGCAGAAGTCTCAGGCGGGAACCCCGTCTGTGAGTGAATTGTGAAGACGTCTCAGGCGGGAGCCCTCTCCCTATGGGGCCCGTAGTTTACGTAAGCAATCCGAGCGGGTCATCGGAATCATGTAACTGTCGTCACATTTGGCATCCCCAAACTTGAATATGGCGGAAGTCTCAGGCGGGAGCCTTGTCTGTAAGTGAATTGCAAAGAAATCTCAGGCACGAGCCCCCTCCCTATGGGGCGCGCAGCTCATGTGAGTAATCCGAGCGGGTCATCGGAATCCTGTACCTGTCATCACTTTTGGCTTTTTCAAGCTTGAACATGCCGGAGGTCTCAGGCGGGAGCCTCGTCTGTGAGTGAATTGTAAGGAAGTCTCAGACGGGAGCCCCCTCCCTATGGGGCCCGCAGCTCATGTGAGTAATTCGAGCGGGTCATCGGAATCCTGTAACTGTCCTCACTCACTTTTGGCCTCTTCAAGCTTGAGTATGGCGGAAGTCTCAAGCAGGAACAATGGCGAGGAAGTTTCAGGCCGGAGCCCTCTCGGGCCACCCCTTCCTATGGGGCTCGCACTTCGTGTTGGCAATCCGAGTGTTGTATGCCGAGCTGGTCGCGGCAAACTTGTTACTGTCATGGGCTCGAATGCCCGAAATGGGGAAGTCCCGGGGTTCCGAAGTAGCCCAGGACACAAGGGCGACTGAGGAGCTGACGACGACGACGAAATGGCGGCCGGGCGCAAAAGTAACCTCTTGTGTCCGGGCCGGGGGTGGTAAACCATCCTCGGTCGAATCGGGGGCAGGGGTAACTCCTTGTCTCCGAGCCGCCAGTGGTAACCCATCGGCGGCCGAATCGGGCGCAGGGGTAGCCCCTTGCGTCTGGGCTGGGGGTGTTGATCCATCCTCGGAAACCTGTAACTGTCGTCACTTTTGGGCTCCTGAGGCATGAATCTTGGGGAAGCATGAGGAGGGAACCTCGTTTGTAAGGGAATTGCGGGTCACCTCGTCCGAGCTGGACGTCGGCAAATTTGTTACTGTCATGGGCCGAATCATGCCGTGGCGACGCCGGGGTTGTTTGGGGGCTTCATGGAAGGCTTCTTGGGAGCCTGTGGAAGGACTTCCTGGGCCTCAGGGTTTCGTGGTGTCCTTTTGGGCTTTGTTGGGGGCCGTTCGGGGATTCTTTAAGCTTTAGAATCATGAATGGTAAGGAAGTTTCAGGCGAAACGCCTAGCCCGCCCTAAAAACTGGCCTCGGGATGGGACGGGGTGGCGTTATTTATAAGGAAAAGGAATGGAGGAGGAGGAGGGGGAGGAGGAGGAAGAAGGGGAGGAGGAGGAGGAGGAGGAGGAGCGCCCGTACCTCCCAGAGTCAGGCACGCCTACCCGCGCGGGCATGGGGGGAGGAAGGTGGAGGAGGAAGAGGCGCGCCCGGGCAGGCTCGGACGGGAGCCGCCCGTCACACCCGGGTCCGGCCGACTGGCCGACGATGTAGGTCTTGATGTAGAGGTGGGCAGCGCGCGCCGGGCCTGCGCGGGCAGCGGCGGGACCTGGACGCGCTGGGCCGCGGCGCGGGCCAAGGCCTGGGCCACCTCCGGCGGCGGCTGTATCGGGCCGGGCCGGTGGCGGAGCAGGTTGTACGTGTGGTACACCGCAGCCAGCCGCGCCACCGTTCGGGGAAGCCCGTTCTCGCCCTGTGGCTCTTCGTCGTAGTCCGCCGATGCACCGAGGCCGAGACGATGCAGGGGGCACGCGTGCGCGATGGCACGCGTGGCCACACAGACGCTCCACCACGCCCCGCGGCAGCTGGACAAGTAGTGGGAGATTTCGTCTGCATGTCCTTCGCACCCCCATCTGCAGGGCAGCCGGGGCTGGCCGACGTGCATGCGGTGCGACGTCGGCCATCCTCCCGCTAGCGTCCGGTACGCGGCCCAGCACGTGCCAGGAGCTGCGCAGGCCAGCTGTCGCCGGAGCACATCCCAGCGATGCTGCAAATCGCTCGGGAGGGGGCGGCGGGGCCACCACGCGCGCAGCCGGCGCCCGATGGTCATGTGAAACGCCTCGGGGTGCAAGTGCTGGGTGGCCACGCGCGCGTGGGTTCGCTGCACGCGGGCGCGGCGGCCCGCAGCAGCAGACTGGCGGACCTCATCCTTCGCCGCGGCATTGCCCGCTGCAAGCGCATGCCGGCGCCGCTGGCCAAGCCGCTTGCTGGGTGCGGTAACCGCGGCCTCGGTGACCGAGAGCATGTACTGGACCATCGATTGGGTCCGCGTCCAGACAGGGGCGGCCCAGCGACCCTCCAGGACGGCACGGGCCGGGAGCATATCGAAGGCGCGTTCCTGCCACTCCGCCGCGAAGTGACGCCACCCTTTGAGAGTGGCCTCAGCTGTCCTCCAAGCAGCAGCCCAAGCTGCAGGCAGCAGCGCCTTCAACGCGGGCCCGGGCGCCCACTCCCCCATGCTCAGCAGGTCGTTCAGAGCGAAGCTCTTGGGGGGCGCCTTCAAGATGCGATGCAACGTGTCCAACTCGCCTTTGATGAGGTCCTCGGGCAAAGGCAGGAGCTGGGCCAGGTAGCTGAGGACAGAGACAACTGAGCCATTGCACAGTGTGATCAATTCCGCAGTCGGGACCGGCACGGTCTGGAGCACGGCCGTGCGCTGCTTGTACTTCGTGGCGGCAGGGTGCCATGAATCTGCGAGGTCTGACCCTGGGCCCAGCACGAACCCGAGGTACTTGACCTTAGAGGCTATGTCGAAATCAGCCCAATCAGGGACGAGTTCTCTGAGAGCTGCGCGGATGGCCTGGAGCGTGGCTGGCAGGTCAGCGGCGTCCAGCCACAGCGGCACCAACACGCACTTCCGCGGCTGCAGGTGCAAGCATGCGAGGCGCCCCATGGCCCGGAAGTGAGGCTCAATGAGGGCGAGGAGGCCGAAGTCCCACAGCACGATGCCCATGTCGTCAGCGCAGACGCCAAGCTCGGCATCCCTGCCAGCACCGACCAGCCGCGCTGCGCGGGGTGGGCGGCTGGCCAGGGAGCGGGAGGGCAACGCTAGAGCTCCGGCCAGCGCCTCCACAAATGGGGCCGTGGCGAGAGCCCACAGAGTGCCCGAAAGAGGGCAGCCTTGGGCAACGCCCGTGAGGACGAGGCACATGTAGAAGGACCGTGCCCCGATGCGCGTCCAACAGTGCTGCCCGTCGTAGAGCGCCCGGATCAACTGGATGTACGAGTCCGGGATGCCGAACTGGGAGAGCGCCGCAAAGAGCCAATCCCATGCCAGGCTGGGAAATGCCGCGGCCACGTCGAAGGAGACGAGGCACGGGCGGCGGCGGGCGAGGGCCACCGGGGGGTCGAGTGTGGCGACCCTCGCCTGGGCATCGAGCCGCCACACGTTCTCCAGGAAGTTCCGGCCCTTGACGAAGCCGCGCTGCGGGCTCGGGACGTGGCTCTCCGCGACAACGGAGAGGTACCTGTTGGCCGCCGCCGCCATCAGCTTCGCGTCGGAGTTCTTGAGTGCAAGTGGGCGGGTCTTAGCAGGTTCCCGCTCCACCTGCACCGCCGACGGGGTGCCGTCCCCCTTAGGCGCGAACTGGAGCCACGAGGCGTTGAGGCCTTCCGGAGGGCACGCCCCGCCCATGATGGCGAGCATTGCTGCGTGCAGGTGCTGAATAGCTCCAGGAGCCCGTGCCCACGCTGCATGAGGTATGCCGTCGGGTCCGGCCGCAGTGGGGCGGGCGCGTCGTGCTGCTCTTTCCACGTCCTCGATGTCCGGCAACGGCAGCTGGGTGTCGGGGAGGCGGGGGAAGTGGCACTGGAGGTAGTTATGAACCTCGCCACTGGGCACCGCCTTGGCCGCGAAAATCGGCTCCCAGTGGGCGCGCAGAGCTGCGGCCATGCCAGCGGGGTCGCGAGCCACTCCTGGTGCCGCGGGAGGGAGCAGCGGCGGGGGGGCAGCAGCACCTGCGGGGGGCGCGTCGGCTGGCGGCGTCGATGGCTGGAGGATGCCCGCCAAGACCTGGACGCTCTGGAAGGGGCGCCAGAGCTGGGCCTTCTGGGCGGCTCGCACAGCCCTGCCTTTCCAGAAAGCCCCACATGCCTGGGCGCCGCGCTGCAGAGCCGTGGACGAGTTCGCCATGGCAGCCTGGCGGTCCCGGTCGAGCACGGCGGAGGCCGCCACGCGGATCGCAGCAGCGAAGCCCGCCTGGTCAGAGAGAGAGGTGCCGGCCTCGGAGACCGTGAAGAAATCTGCCAGCAGCGGGGCAGAGTTTGCCAATGCGCTGAGCGTGCGGCTGTCCTCACGCCAGTGCGCGCGGGCTGCTGCGCGCAGGACGAGCAGACGTGCATCTGGATAAGACGCCCTGGTGCTCAGGTCCGGCTCCCGGGTGAGCACGTCGCGTGTGGTGCGGGCAGCAACCAAGATGTTGGCTTTCGTGATCTTCCACACCTGGATCGGGTCCCCGGGCATCCGGGAGACGGCCATCGCCTTCGCGAATGTGGTGGCGAAGAGCGGCTCCTTGCAAATCCATTCGGGTATGGGGCAATCTCGGCGTCCGGGAGCCTTGGCATTGGACAGTTCCAATACGAGGATGCCGTGGTCGCTGAGCTTCCCGTCGGAAAGCGTGGCCGGGTCTGAGGCGAGGTAGGCGCGCATGGAGATGCCAAACACGGCCTCGGGCGGCACCGAGACGTAGAGCCGGTCCAACGTCGAAGATTTAAGCCGGTGTACGTCGTAATGCGTCGGGGAGTCGATCTTGATCTCCACGAAGCGGCCGAGCAGCTGCTGCCAGTACCGAGGTGCGGCATGGTCACGGCGAGCCTCGTGCTGGCGAGTCCGCTGCGGGTCCTCATACGATAGGTGGGCGCCGTCGTCGAAATTGAGGTCTCCCCCGATGACGACCAGCCGTTGCTGCGGCGACGCGGAGGCCCAGGCACGATACTTTTTCACTTCACCGGCCAGGCGGCGCCGATCGTGGAGCGTCAGGTCGTAGTTGTGGATGTTTAGCAGCGTGAGGGCGGAAGTATTGCCCGGAGGGCAGCCGCGGGGCGGCTGCGGCGCATCGGCCACGCGGCCGGGACAGCGACCAGCGTGGCAATCTAAGCCGCCATCCTGGGCGTCCAAACGAGTAGTTGACGACGATGATGATGAAGTGGATGATGAGCGTGAGCATGAAGGGGACGCGGGGGACGCGCCGGTCGGTCCCGAGGAACTTGTGGTGGAAGAGCGTGGACTGGAAGATGCCGCAGAATGCCCAGCTGATTGCACAATGCCCGATCCCCCTGCGCACTCGGAGCGCTCAGGTGAGGAGCAGCGTGACCATACCGGCGACTCTGGAGAAGCGTCAGGGGGCGCGGCCGCAGGCTGAGGCCGGCCAGGCTGCATTACTGCGGGTTCGTCAGCATGCGGTGGCGCGGCTGACGACAAACAAGTGTAGGTTGAAGACGCCGGCTGGTCCTCGTTGACCGTGGCCGGGTGTTTCGCGATGTGGAGGGCCGCGACGCGGCCAGGAACGACGACGTCCATCCACATGTGGTCCTCGACGGGGGCCTTGAAGATGCCCATCGGGACCAAGAAAGCCAAGCCGCCAGCACGAGTGCTGTTGGCACAGCCCGAGTAAAAGAATGTGTAACGACAAGGCAGGCTCGAGAGCCAAGCCCTGAGCTGCTCCTCATCGCCGTGGGCCTCCTGGATCATGACTACCGCACCTTTCTGTAGGAATTTCTGCAGCGCAGCTTGCTTGCGCCTCCGTTTACGACGGGAGGAACACAATAGGCTATGTGCATTCCACGTCACCACAGTCAGGGGGCTGCACGCGTCCGCCCAGGGGGCCCAGCACCGGCTAGGACCACGGCACGTCGGAGCCCTGGTCCTGGAAGAGCTTGTGGAACTCCGCGTCAATGAGGTCGCAGTCGATGCCGAGACGTTGCGCCTCGGGGCGCTTCCACTCGATCTTGGAGGGCTCGTCGGGGACGTTCGGGACGATGACCCTGGCGATCGGCATGCGGTCGACTTTGACCTCGCCCTTGCCGCGGTTGGCCCAGAAATTAAGCTGGCCGTAGTTGCGTTCCAAGGTCTGGGCCAAGCGCTTGGACTGGAACTCCATCCGCTGAGTGCGTGGAGAGCGGTCAGGGTTGATGTACAGGGGGCCTGCGGGTCCAGCCACGGTGATAGCGCTGAACTGCCGCCAGCGCCCGTTCGGGAGCTTAAGGGCCTGGGCCAAGGCGAGGGCGCGGGCGTTGCCGACGACGCCGCCGTGTACTTCGACATGGAACCGCCGGGCAGGGCCGGCGCCGTGAAGGGTGATGTGCTCTGGGTGGAGTCCCGCTGCCTGCAGCCAAGCGCTGAGGGCATGCTGCGCTGCCTCTGGAGCTGTGTCGTCCTTGGCGTTGATCGTGAAGAAGTTCGGTTCGGGGCTGCGGTCCCAAACGGAGAGGCGGACGAGGTCCGTGAGGCCCGCGGCACGCTCCGCGATGCGGAGCGTTTCCTCGATTTCGCGGACCTTGCCGGCCAGGACGTCCTGCTGGGCTGCTGTGGCGTCGACCCGTTTGGAGCACTTGTGGACCTCGTCGTGGAGCTCGCCGATCTTGCCGTCCAGCTTGGCGGCGTGCGCAGCGACGAGGCCGGAGATCTTGGTCTGGAAGTCGGTTGTGACGGACCGACAGGCCGTCTCCAGCTGGGTTGCGGTGCTGCCCAGGATGTCCGCCAGGGCAGTCCGCATGTCCTCGGGACAGGAAGCTGGAAGTCGGTCGACGGATTCCTTGATCCTGTCACCGAGGGAGGGCCCGGGTGGCTGGGGTGCTGCACCAGGGGGAGCGCCAGAGGCCGCATCAGGAGGGCCAGCAGCAGGAGCCGCGGCCGGCGCCACACCTTCCGAGCCTGCGGCGCCACGAGGTACTCCTGCAGCAGGTCCGACTTGGGCAGGACCGGGCCCCCCTTGCGCGGCATGGGGGGCTGCGGGGCGACCACCTTTGCCAGCACGTGCTTCAGCCCACGGGTCAGCACGCCCTTGGAGCGGGTCCACTGCCGGCGCGCCGGCATCGCGGCCACCCCGGCCCTCGGCGCCGCGGGGGCGGCGGGCGCATGGCGGCGACGGTGCCGCGGCTGCCGTGGGTTCACTGCCGGAGGACCCATCCAGCTCCTCACTGCGGCTGCGATCCACGTGGCGTCGCTGCCGGTCGTAGTCGGCGGGCGGGCGCTCGCGCTGGCCCGCACGGGTCCGGCCGGGCCGCTTGTCAGCGCCGCGGGGGGGAGCAGCGTCATCCATCGGTGTAAATTGTAAGAAAATCTTGGTTCCGCTCGCGCACGACACGCGAGAGCGCCCACTGCGGCGGGCTGCCCGCTCAATTACCTTGAGCCAAAATGGCTACGGAGGAGGAGGAGGAGGAGGAGGAGGAGGAGGAGGACGAGGAGGAGGAGCGAACGACCCCCAAGGAGGAGGAGGAGGAGGAGGAGGAGGAGGAGGAGGGAGTTGGAAAAGGAGGAGGAGGAGGAAAAGGAGGAGGAGGAGGAGGTGGTGGAGGAGGCAAGAGGAGGAGGAAGCAGGGGTCGAGGCAGGAGGAGGAACAGGCAGGAGGAGAAGGGGGAGGCCGTAGTAGGTGGGAGAAGGGATGGGGCAGGAGATCCCCAGGCAATTGAAACATATTCTCATGTGGGGTCCTACCGTCGGAATAATATTTTTTCGGAGCGTCAGTGACGGCCCAAGAGGCTCCAAGTATCACCCCTGGACTGCGCCCAAGCACCCCGAAGGGGGTCCAGGCTCCCAAGACGGCCTCAAGAGGGGGCTCAGAGGGGACTCCGAACTGACATGTGCAGCGCTCCACGCCGACGTGGCTCCCTAAGACCTCCAGTGCGCCCCGAAGAAGCCCCTAAGAGGCCCCCGGCGGCCCACGAGAGGTCTCCCGAGAGGTCTCCACATGCCTCTAAGAGGCCTTCGGTTCACAGCCCAAGGACGGAGGCGGGATTGGCCGAACTCCACCAGGTGAGGCAAGGACTTTCACGTACCCTCGAGCTCCTTGCGACTTTTACCTCCTGTTGACTCTCAGTGCATCGGTGTAGTGCACTGAGCGAAACTTAGCACTGACGCAGGGAGTGTGTGGGCAGTCCCGTGCTGGAAGCGCTCCGAATACATTATGAGGCTTCGCGCGCGTCGCGGCGGCCTCGTTGTAGAAGAAGCTATGCCCAGCCTGGCTCGGAGGTGGAACTCTACCGCGCTACAACGCTGGTGCCACTCGCAATGTGAGGCAACTCGTCGCAATACCACTAATTCATACTAGCAACTTCTGGCAATGACGGGCTCTTTGAGAAGACTTACCCCTTCTGTTGTGTTGCGCCCAATGAGGAAGCGCCCATGCCACAAGCAACGCACCGTCACGCTGCGGCATTGAACGGCGGGAAGCCGCAACCGATACCCAGACCTGACGAGGGCAACGCTGTGCTGGCCGTGATCCCAGATGCTCACTTCCTGCCCTCCCCTCCATCACGGCCGTCTTCTTCCACTAAGGCCGTGCGCTCCTAATCAACGGGCGGCACCTCGTGGGCCAGGTCTCGTGATGGAGAGACGAGTAGTAGCGAACAGTCGCGGGCAATAGCCATCGCTGATGGGGGGCAAAAAACTGGGGCCCAGGCTATGAACTTGGCTGGTGGGCCCCAAGCGCTTACGCTGTGCAGCCTATCGCGTGTGCACTCCGCGTGGTGCAACTCATCAGGTGCACCCTGATGTGTGCAATATATCGAATGTAATTTTTGGGGTGCAATCTGTGCAGGCCAACTAATTATGCATAACTTGCAATAAACATAAACTCCACTGCTTGCTCTCGACTCTGGTGCTGAACAAACATACCACTCACCCACCCGCAACTTGTTAGTACCATTCAACTGGCGTGGTGGCGCGAAGGTCCTTCCCATTCAGGTTCATGACTCGGGCGGGCGGGCGAGTGGTGCTGATGATGGTGGCGCTGACGGCGAGGGCGACGACCACGACGATAACGCTATGTTGATGACGACGGTGGGAATGACGACGAACATGGTGATGTTGATGAGGATGTTGGTGATGACAGTGGTAACCACGACGCTGGAGAGGATCATGATCACAGTGCAAGTAAAAAGGGGATGGCGAAATTTGACCAGTCCTAATCATATGTGCGGTGCGTGTGCTACAAATCTATGTGCTTGAGTCGTCGTGGTCTGCGCTACGTTTGGTAGTCAACTCGCTGTGCTATGAGTAGTAGTCGTTGGTCTGTGCGGTACGCTGCTTGATTCTGTAAGAAGTGTGTCTTCGTGGCGCTACGGTATGCCTTGTTGCGTGCTGTGTTTACTTGTGCTGTCTTGGTCGTAATACATATCCTGCGTCCTCTCTTGGTAGAACTGGTGGCAGTTGGCAAACGTGTCGGCGCGGCGTATGTTGATGTCTGCCCTGAGGCAGCTGTGTTCGAAGTGAGTTGCCTTGAGTGGTGAACTTGCTGCTCTTTGCTTTGATTGGGTGTGATGTGCGAACAGCTGTCGTGCATGCTGGGTTGAAATGAGTGCCGAGGTAATCGTACATGTGTGTGATGGTGATGTGTTGGTCCTGCGTGGGACCGTATATGGTCGGTGTTGGTTGTGTGAGTAGCCTTTGTTTGGCTTGATCTGTGCCTTTGCCTGCTCGGTGTATTGTGAATGCTGACTTGCGTGGCTTGCAGTTTAGCTTGAAGCCGTAGCTGGTTGGGACTGTGTGCGTAATGGTTGCTATCTCCGCCATGTACTACTCCAAGAGGTCGTTGTCGCTGCGCTGGGCCACAATGAATGTGTCGTCGGCAAATGCTGTGCTGGTTGCGTAGTCGTCTTGTGCGAAGTCTGAGGTTTGATCTGCTGAGTGTAGTGGTTGCGCTGGCCTTGGCAGTCGGATTGCGCATGGCTGGTCAATGATGCTGTCTGCTAAGTCGTTGAGGGGTCTCGCACATGAGAGGCTGTAGATTGCGTCTGCTAAGCTGTTGCTTGGTCTGGTGCCTGTTGTCGGGTGTGCTGTGAGTTGAGAGTGCTTGCGTGTGAAGTGTGAGGCTCTGTGGGTCTCTATGACTTGCGCTGCGAGATGCCAGTCGCAATGGTGTGTCCAGCATGCCAGGTTGACTGACTGCTGAGCTTGCTTCAACGTTGCCGCCGGTATCTTTGTGCAAGCTGTGCAGTCGTCTTTGAGCTTGCGAATGTACTGTAGTCCTTCAACTTCTGGCTTTTGGTCCAGTAGCTCTTTTAATGACTGCCAGTTCATGTCGTAATTGGCCTGCTTCCTGTCCTTCATTCTTCATTGCCATAATATGTTTTGTGAGCTTCCTCAGTTCTGCTGTCTTTGACGTGTTTCATGCTCCCACTTGGAGTGGTGTAGCTCCAGGCTTGTCTTTGTGTAAGACGTCGTTGTGGTAAGCTTCTGGTCTGCCGTCGGTCAGTGTGTGGTTTTCTCGTGTGGTGTACGTCGGTCGGATCATATTGAACGGGTTGGGCGTGTCCGTTGTGCCCGACAGGTTGCCAGGATGGACCATGCCTTTGCTGTATTGTTGTCGCTGCTTTTGCCTTTGGCCTGGGGGCTTGTGTGTAACTGTTCACTGTGTCGGCTGAAGATTGTGGTAGTTGCTTTGCGCTATGGTGTTGGTTGAGTAGTTGCTGTGCTGCTTGGAGCTGCTGGTGTGTAGGTTGGTCCAGTAGGGTTCGCGCTGAGGCTACCCGCAGTAGTGTGCGTGCTGCTGCTGCGCTTTTCCATGTCCCTGCTGTGCCAAGCAGGGCTCAGAAAAATCGACGAAGTCGTGGTGCTCGTGGTTGGGTGTACGATGTGGATGTCGAAGCCGCGTAGTCGAAGACTCTCTGGTAGTTGTCGAATCCGTGAGGTCGGATGCTCGCCTCCACGGTGGTACCTGTGCCAAGGAAGTCCTCGAAACGAAATGTAAGAGGTACAGGATTGACACGTGAAGGGATGCATGGTATGGGAAATGCAAGAGGTATGAGGTACGTCGTGGCCGACCTGGTGTCGGTCTGCGCACTGCTGTCGACTCGCCCCAATCTCTTGGGCGGTCACAGGCTACTTCTCCCCTCCTCCTCGTCCTTTTCCTGTCGGTCTTGTCGTCCACTCCTCCCCCCGCCGTTCCCCTCCACTTGGGGTTCTGGCAGAGCGAAGCCTCATACCACCCTGCTGAATTCCCCGGGTCTCCCCTCGGGAGGCTCAGCCTCCTTACCCATGACGCCCCCTGGCAGGCCGGTATATCAATGCTGCCGCGCCGGATGTCAAAACATGTAGTGCCGGCGCACATTCTCGCCGACCCTCCTCATCTTCCTTTCCTGTCGGTAATGTCGCCCCCTCTTCCCCTCGCTGCCCCTCGCCCCGCCGCGCGCCGCCCCGCTGCGCCCGGCTGGGCGGGTTTTTGTAAATTTGGCCGCGCCCCACCCATTGGCGGGGGCCAAGCCGCCTTACCAGTGGTCGCCGGGCAAGGCGAGGTGTGAGCCTCTGCCGTCCTCTGTCACCTCGGCGGGAGGCAATTCGCCTGACCAGTGGCCGCGGGGCAGGGTGTGGTCTGAAATTCTGCCGCACCTCCTCGTTCTTCTCCTGTCGTGTCGTGTGAGGAGGAGGAGGAGGAGGAGGAGCGCAAGTAGAATGAGGCGCAGCAGGTGCCGATCTCATCTACATGCTGATGGCAGCTTCAGCTGCGCGCAGTAAGTGAACGTATGATGAGGAAGATTGGGGTGGGGATGCAGCGTGCCATACTTTATTATAAAAGTGAAATGACAGCACCGTGTATGCATGGGTGCTCTCTCGCTCGAACTGGGAAGTATATAGTGGCGGGAGAGCGAGCCCAATGCGGATGACGGGATCGGAGGGGAGAGGGGAGCGGACGAGGGACACAAAGCCAAGGAGGCGGGGGCAAGTGAGATAGTGAGGGAAAGAATCCGGACAATGAGGGCATCCGAAAAGGCAGTTGGCAGGCGTCTCGACCTTGACTCTGTGTGTGGTCGTCCACCCGCCCACTATGGTTTTGATGTGTGCCCAAACCCACGCTGGCCTCGAATGGATGAAAATCGCTTTCAGCTCCGGCCAAGTCTGCTGGAGCTCACGGAGCTCTGGCGCAGCTAATTCACCAACCCATTTTTCAAACCGCCTCCGCAAGAGGCTGGGCATGGAATCGTGGTAGATGGAGGTGAGGAGGGAGGAGAGGTACAGACTCTGAGGACGTGCTCGGCGCTGCTCGGCAGCGGCAGCAGCGCATCCTTGCATCGCTGCCTGACTTGCCGCACACAAGCGCGACCGCGATAGTTTATGCCACGGTGTGCTATCTACTGCTTCGGCCCACCTCTGCACTATGGCCTGTGTCTCTTTCCATAATGGTCTAGACCACTCGCCGCGGAGAATCGCGACAACTTCACGGCAAATTTCCGCGCTGGTTCGCAACTGTTCGACCCAAGGGCGCCATTCTTGCACTATAAAGCCTCCCGTGCGCCACAAGTGGGCCTAGCACCAGGGCGCAAGCGGCCTATGGCGCCCTCCCAGGACCCAGCCACACAAGGAGTGAAGTGTAGGGCCATCGAATGAATCCGGAGGGAGGCGCAAGACACGATGCAATAAGAGACGCTCACGATCAAGCATGGACTCAAGAGGGCGGGAAAACTGAGCCAATTACGATAGCACTGATAAGGCTAGGGTGGAGTAGGAGCGGAGAGAGGCGTCGGAAGGGGCACGAGTAGTCGGAATAAAATAAGCTCTCTCGAGCCATTTCTGCTCTGCTACTTGCCATTGGTCAAGGTTCGTTGCCCCTGGTCCCATCAAAACCCCCAGGAGGAGGAGGAGGAGGAGGAGGAGGAGGAGGAGGAGGAGGAGGGCCTCCTTTTGCTGTCGCGTTACCCATCTGGCGCGCCTCCGGCCGCTCGGTGGTCCCCATCCTCCCTCCCACCGCGCCTTTGTGTCGTGCCTCCCTTCCTCCCCCCTCGCCTCTTCCTCGACTGGCGCCGTCCCTCTCCGTGACTTGCCTAGCCCTTGTGCTGCGTGGTGCCTCCTTTCTTCCCCTCGGCTCCCCTTCCCTCGTCGGTTGGCCCGCCGTCCCTCGCGCCAGTCCGTCCGCCTCCTTCGGCTGTCCGCTGCCGCTCCTCGCTTCTCTCTGCTCTTTGCTTGGCCCTCCTTGCCCTTGTCTTGCTGGCCCCGTGTCGTCCCCATTCTGGCTGGCTTCGGCCA